ACCGAACCACATCCTCAGCCTGCATATTAGCTTTATCAGAAACTGCCAAACTGTTTCCTAAAACAATTGTGCCATTTTACATCCCCATCATCCATCAATGTTTGAGAATTCCAGTTGCTACACACCAGCCAAGATGGTTAGAATGAGGAAGGCCGACAATACCAGCATTGGTGAGGATGCAGATCAGCTTAAAGTGTTTCCTCAGCACTCCAAAACAAAAATAAAAAAGAAAGAAAGAAAAGAAAAAGAAACTAATGCCTGTTGGGAGAGTTAGGATTTGGGGCAATTTGAATTAGAAATAAATCCATTCAAGCAGATGCAACATGACCATCCCAGGTATTCTCTTTTACAATGTCCACTTGGTCCAAACAATCACAAAAACAAGTAATAGATTGCAAGGATAAAGATATATTCCCTGTCTCAAAACAAAAAATAAAAAGGATTGGGTATGTGTAATAAAGTACCCCTGGGTTCAATCCCCAGTGCCAAATAAAAGATTCAGAAAGAAAGAAAAGAAATCTCCTTTAATTCCACTCAAAAGCAAACATAGGTGACATTTTGGTATATATACTTTCTTAAGTTTTTCTCTTCATATGTAAACAAACAAGGTCCCTTTTGCCCACCATGTAGTACACCAATCACCAAAACAATGTATCGTTCGTTTGGTACTAGGGATTGAATCCACAGGTACTTTACTACTGAGCTACATCCCCAGTCTTCTTTATTTTTTATTTTAAGTCAGGGTCTTACTAAGTTGCTTAGAGCCTTGCTAAATTGCTGAGGGTGGCCTCAAACTTGTAATCTCCTGCCTCAGCCTCCTGAGCCACTGCTGCAGTCTGGCTGGGCACAAATAACCGAGCCGCCATAAAGCCTTGTAGATTCAAAAAGCAACTCTTTATTCCCGAACTCTCACCAGCACTCTACACACACTTCCCGGGAACACACTCCCTCCACCAGGCTCCTTGCGCCAATTCTCCCTGAATCCCCCGCGAGAACTCAACAGAAACTCCAAAGTAGCGGGCGCCGGCACCGGAGGCAGCAGGATCCGCCCTAATCCCGGAGCAGGGTCACCTTTCAACCATTCCCTCTAGCAAAATGCCAGGCGTCATTCCGACTACACAAGCCACCAGGATTATAAGTGAGGGCCACTATGCCTGGGCCAAAACAATGAGTTTTGCAAAAGAGAGTTTATTATTAAGGTGGCCAAGCTTGAAGATCAGACACCAACTCTCAAAGCCTCCTCCCTGAGATTCATAAGATAAAGAAGCCAAGTGGTTTTAGGAGGGGGAAAGGTGATTGGAAGTGAAGTAACCAGTGGTCTGTGAATGCATAATCAATCTTCATAGCTCTTCCTAGGGCACATGGTCAGAAAATGGCAGCATTACCATGATCTGAGGGTAGGATTATCAGCCTCCTGACATCAAAGAGGACATCCACTGGACACTTACACAGGCCCAAGTGAAAAGTCAGCGGTTTCACCACATCAGCCTTCAAGTTCATGAAAAGTAACCAGGTGACCATTACCATCATGATCCACACGTCAGAGGTGCCATGGATGGCAAGGCTCATGCAAAATTAGTAATACATGACCTCCAAAATTAGTGAGTGTGAAATTCAAACTAAAAGAAGTGAAATCAATGGACTTATTCAGGATTTCCCTCAGTTTCATATTTTACTCTGGAGTAGCAATTCTCAACCAAAGGTGATTTTGCCTCTCAGGGGACATATGGCCATCACTGAAGACGTGTTTGGCTAATCACAACTGGGTGTTGCTCCTGGCATCTAGTGTGCTGTTGAATATGCTAGAATACACAGGATGTCCCTCCCAGCCCACCATGTCAACCATGCCTGCCTCTATCTGTTAGATGCCAGTGGTACCTCCTCAGTTGTGACAACCAAGCATCCCCAAATGCGGCCATCTTTCCTCTGGAGAGCAAAATTGCCCCTGGTTCAGACCCACTGCTCTAAAGCTTTGCTTTACTAATCTGGAGCCACCATTTAAAGTAAAAGAGCTGTTTAAAAATTAAAATTAATTAAAATTGAAAATGGAGCTCCTCAGTTGCACCAGCCACATTTCCAGTGCTTGATAACCACATGTGGCTTGTGGCCACTGTACTGGAGAGGGTAGAGAACAATTTCCTCATTGTAGAAATTTCTGCTGGATAGTAGTGCCCTGCAGAATCCTTCAACAGGTTTGTCAAACCCTGGGCCCATTTAAAAAATATGAAATCATCTTTTTTCCTCACTTCTAAGCTTGGGATAGTCTTCCTTAACAGTTCACTTGTATAGTAGCTGTGTTAACATCAGAGACTGGGTCTTAATTATCTCCTTATCCCTAGCACCCAGTATTGTGCCTGACACATAGGAAGCACACAGCAGTAGATATTTATTAAATGAATGAATAAATGATGTGACATTTAGTGGGCAGCAAGTCCCTTTGCAGTGGACTTTCTTGGCTAGCTATCAGTAATCCCATTATCATCTTACCTGCCATGGCAAATTGAGGCCCAGATGGGAGGTCAGCAACAATAGTGTCTGTCCCACATGCTCCGGAGGCCATCAACATGCAATTTTCTTTCCAAAAATAATTTCCTTTTTTCCCCAAAAAATGATCAAAATGGTTCCCAGCCCTTTGATATTTTGAGACCCCTCAAAGTCTTTCTGAATAGAGAAACCTTCCCTTGGTCGTTACAGTTCATTGGTGGCAGATCTGGAATAACCAGAGGCCATCATCTATCTTGTAGAGGACTGACAGCAATGACATTCCTTGCTGATGACTGCCTGGTCATTTTGTGTAGGGCCAGCTGAGACAGAGGGCAGTAACCATATAACAGGAGTGGACGCCGCAGGGACTTTCATTGAGCTGTCGGGTGCTGCTAATACAAATGCTATCCTTGGCCCTCCTCCCAGGAGCTCCCAGGCTAGTGAGGGCAGCACCCAGGCATCCCGGGTGCATGCTGCATCCCAGCCCCTACATACATACTTTAAAAATAACAACAAAAAATGTAGTTGTAGATGGACAACATGCCTTTATTTTATTTGTTTATTTTTATGTGGTGCAAAGGATCAAACCCAGTGCCTAACAAGTGCTAGGAAAGTGTTCTGCCACTGAGCTACAGCCCCAGCCCCCTACATGCACATCTTTGATGACAATTCATGGACAACTCTAAAAAAGAGAGGCAGAGGACATGAAATACATGGAGGGCCCAAGTGTGGTATATCTAAGGGAACAGCAGGGAGGGTAAGGACAACAGGCCAGGTCCAATGGGCTGGCCCTTTTTTTTTTTTTTTTTTTTTATGTCTCCCTCCCCTCCCACAATAAGTCCCTACAGTTGTAAATAGATCTGAGACTGTATACCGGGAAAGTGGAAATGATCCATGTCAGAGGGAGCAGTAGAAGTTTGCTGAGCTCTCCAGTTCCCCAGGCTTAGGAAAAGAATGGTCCAAATGTGGTTTGGGGAAGGCTGAAGAGGCTTCTCTGGCTGGAGATGAGGTGTTGGCCCTACATAGCAGGGTGCTGTGGCCACCTGGATTCTGCAGCCACAAAAGGGACTGTTAGGTTTTTAGGAAGTGTTGCAGAGCATGTTTTGCAGAGCAGGTCACATTACAAACATGTGAAGGGGGAGAAACAGAAGTCCAGGGTAGTATTTAGCTTTCTTTCCTGATTGAACCCAGCCAGGGGCACTCTACTACTGAGCTACATCGAAGCCCTTTTATTTTTATTTTTTTATTTTAATACAGGGTCTTGCTAAGTTGCCCAAGCTGGCTTGGAACTTGCCATCCTCCTGCCTCAGCCTTCCAAGTACCTGGGATTACAGCGGTGCACCACCATACCAGGCACCAGTTATGGTTTCTGAACAATTTTTTTTTTCTTGCTTATCCCCACAGAGAAAAGCAGGAATTTGGTTTTATCTCTTCAAAATTCTTATCATTTTACTCCATCTAGATTTCCTGATTTATGTAGTCTCCATTCATTCAAGAAGTTGTATGCCAATTTTGTGCCAGACCCTGGGCTAGTGTTGGAAATACTATGTGTGGAAACTGTTCATTTTGTCCTCACAGGATGGTGTTAAGCTGGTAACTGTACCGCTACACAAAGAAACTGTGTTTCACGACTGTAATCTTGACCTGTGCTTTGTAACAAAGGAACAAGGTATAAACTGTTTCAAGAGAGACCTGGGTCTGGGGATACAGCTCCGTTGGTAGAGTGCTCCCCTTGCTCCCACAAGACCCTGGGTTCAATCCCCAGCACCAAAAAAAAAAAAAAAAA